AATCGGCCGCCGGAGGCAAATTCAGATCTTTGTCTTGAGATGGGAAAAGAAGATTTGAAACTGCAATGGAGAAAATATTAATAAGTGAGAATGATGAAATGATATGGCGAGAGATTGTTTTATATGGTAAGTTTATTAGTAATTGATGAATATTTTGAAGGATTAACGGTCTTAGAATTGTTCCTCGGTATCTTTGAACCATCCAAAATTTCAAAGAATGAATGGTTTAAAGTTCTTTGCACGGTAGTAGAATTAAAATCTGGAATCTTTCACTCTGTTGTGTATTTCTGACATTATTATGTAAATGAATATATGTTAATGTTATGATACATTTCCTCACAAATCACAATGTATTATACTATCAGCATTTTGGTGTATCAAAATATATAATACTTTTGTTAGAGTATGCTTGTGATGGCTTTCTATTTGTTTTGTTTTCGTATAATAATTATAATTTTATTTGGCTACTATATTCTTTCTGTTTTCTCGTTATTTTTCATTATTTACGGCGGTGGAAAGCACTTTTTTAACCAATGCTGAAGATATAATTGAAGTTTTTATTGGAATGGTTTTTAAAAATTTGTAATTTCAATTTGATATAAGTGTGATAAAATTTTTTTATATATTTGACTCACTACAGAAAAATCGTCAATTAAAGGTGGATTTTTGCGACGGCTTTCCATCAGATTATTTTTCGGCGGATTTTCAGGGGTATTTCCAACGATCTAATTTTTTTAGAAGAATTTTCAGCGGCTTTCTAGCGGAGTTTCCGACGGTTTTTAATAATTTTTGAAAAATTATATATTTGTAATTTAATTAATTAATATTTAATACTTTTAATGTCTCCGTTGTGCTCCGAGCGCTCCCTCACTCAACTGTATGCCTCATCCAACAACTCTGTAGACCCACTTTCAGCGCGGGACTAGGGCTTCGGGTGGTCGCGACGACGGCTTGGGCTTCGGGGGGTCGCGACGACGCGCGACGGGCTTCGTTCGCGCCGGCTCGCCTCCGTGCGTCTCCGGCGTCTTGTTCGCGGGACTCAGCTCGCGACGGCACGCTACAGCTGGGGTTCCGCCGCTAGGGCTTTGCCCTAGCTCTGCTGGGGCTCGTTCTTCAGGGAAGTCTCATTTTTTTTTGCATTTTCCTTCCATTATGTTTTCTAAGTGCCTTGAAAAGTGTATTCCTGTACTTTTCAAAAAAAAAAAAAGCTTCTAAACCCTCTCAAATAATTGCCCACTAGTGTTCTATAGTTTGTCAAAATTATTTTTTTTTAGAATCCTACCACATTATCGCATATTGTGTATAATAACATTTTGAAATAGTAATTAAAATATTAATTTTAAATGTCAAAATAAATTTTAGAACATATAAAAATTGTTGCATTTCAAAATCTCCTCATGAAACATTTGGAATAAATACTCAAAATAATCAGATCAGTTATATCCACAACATATCAAAAGTTACGTTGATGAAAGTAGTTAGAATATAATAAAATTACATTTTTTGTAAATTAAATTAAAATTTCAATTACAAAAATTCCAAAACTCCGAATTATTGAAATTAAAGATGGGCAAAATGTAACATACATCAACCCGAGCAACTTTCTTAATTGGATTGACAGCTAAAAATGACTTAAAGCATCCCAAATCTTGGTCCCCCTCTCTCTCACTAAAATCTCGCTTCTCTCTCTAGTTGGCGGTTTGCGTGAGAATAAATGGAAAGAATAGTGAAAAAATATACTTTTAATGACGAATTTATGCCTAGCATCGGGGCGCTACTCTTCCATCGTCGGTGCTCTCCAGGGGAAAAAAATATTTTTCATAAACATGCATTTAGACCCCTGGAACCCGCTTCAAAACACATACATATATTTTTCATGCACACAAATCATTCTCAAATACATGCAAAAGAGTTCAAATGCAACATGTTACATGACTTCTTGTCGAGATAAACCAGTTTGAGCTGAGCTTTGATCCTAGAGGTCTCACATCAGAGTCGGAGTTTGGAGCGCCACAGCCCTCCATTCTCTATATGTTTGCAAGCAAACTATATATACAATATCACAACACTCGGGTACAAAACACATAGTGCTATATTGTTAAATGAAAAAAAAAAAAAAAATTTGTAGGCTAATCACTCAAATCTATGCAAGGGGGAAGACTCCTTGGGTCGACCAATGGAATTGAGGTCCAAGGCAGTACTACAACCTAATTGATCGATACAATCAGATTCCACACAAAATTAACAATTTTCTTCATAGTAACTTTACATCTAACTTTATAAAAAATTGCATTTGTACCAAAATTTTTATGAAATTCATAATTTTATGTATGAAAAAGAAGAAGAACTTTTTTTTAAAGAATTTGGGTAATTGTATTTATTGAAAGTGGGCAAAATAGTTAAAATACTTATTCTTCTAACAAAACAAAATAAAACAAAAGATTTCAGGGTGGACAATTGCCCATCGTGAGCACTTCTTAGTTCCACCCCTGCAAATAAACCCTTAGTGCAATTATTTCCAACTAAATTATGTATCATCATTTTTTATTTTACAAATTTTAATATAGATCACCCATGCTCTAGTGCCAAATAAGATTAAAGAGAGTCACTTTAGATGATTTCGTCACATAAAATGTCAGTCTTTTGATGACCTGATTAAGAGAGTTAATATATTAGATATGCCCTATATTAAGAAAGATAGAGATAGACCTAAACATACTTGGTAGAAAGTATTATAAATTACTTTTTTTGTTAGATTTAAATAAGAATTTGATTTTTAACATGATGCAATGGAAAAAATTATTCACTTAGCCAACACTACTTGTTGGGATAAAGACTTTATGTTATTTTGTACCCATATTCAACATTTCAACTATACCAGAAAGGCAGAAATCTCTGTTACTTATTTGTTCAATAAATTCAAATTCAAGGAATAGATTGCTTTATTAAATTTAAATCTAAATAATCCTTTTGGATTTTTGTTATTAAATCTAGCTCATTGTTCTTCATTATTTTTAAAATAAATTGGATAAAATATTTTGCTGAAGACCATAAATAAAGCTACAAAATTCTACATAAATAGAATAATATTACTATATTTGGAGGATCTCAATTACATTTAAACCATTCATCTTTGATGACTTCATATTATATCTGCCTTAAAATAGAAAGAAAAATCATGTGAGAATGATTTTTTTTTACTCATTAGAATTGCTTTGGGATTAAGCTAATTTAATACTAATAAATGAATTTTCACATTACACTCATCTAAAAAATATAAAATTCATCATGATTAAATTTAAATGAAAAAATATTTTGAGCCAAATTTTCTCCATTAACTATCTCTCTTAAGAAAATAATTCCTACTCAACTTACCTCATTTTTTTTTAATTAAGGCTTCGTTTGAGACGACTTTTTTATTGCTTCTTAAAGCAGCTTTATAGTACAAAAAAAATAATTTTTTTTATAAAAAAATTGCTTTAAAAATAGTAAGAAAGTTGTCCCAAACGAAACTAATGTTAGCATTTTTCATCATAGATATAAAAATCATAATAAACATGTGTCTTTTAAAATTTTAAGATATTAACATTCATTTCATACCATATAATTCTTTGATGTTAAAAATTTCTTAATTCTATGACATTTTAATAAGATCTTATTTAAAAAACATGTCACTTCATGTAGTTGCCAAAAACATAAGAAAATAGAAAATTGAAATGTCGGTTGGGGTGTCAGAGCAGATTAGCTGATCTGATTTGGGTTCGACTCAATATTGATTTTACTCGAATCCAATCAACCCGACCAAATCCATTTAAGAAATATTTCAAAATGTCAAACTCAAATCAGTAGCTAGCAACTCAAATGATCAGAACCCAACTCGTTAACTCATTTTAGTTAAAATTTATATATATATAACTTATCAACTACAAAGTTTAAAGTATTTGATAAAAAATAATAAGATAATACCTAAAAGCAAAATAATTTAAGAAAATAAATATTTAACAGGTCATTTTTTGATCAAAAACAAGATTGAGAACTCAACCCATTTATTAAACATATTAAAATATAATACATTGTAAGGAAATATATCATAATATATAATTTTTATTTATTGTCAAAAATACACAGCAGAGTTAAAGATTCCATATTTTAATACTACTATGGTCCAAATACCTTTAAAGCACAGTGATATATATATTTTATATTAATTTTCTTAATTCCATTTTGTCTTCTAATATCCGAATGGTTCGGAGATACTGAGGAACTATTCAAAGGCTATTAATCCGTTAAAATATCCGTTAACTACTCAACTCACCATATAAAATAATCTCTCGCCATCTGATTTCGTCATTCTCACTCATCAGTATTTTCTCCTTCACCGCTTCAAATCTTCTTTCTCATCTCAGAAACAAAGATCTGAATTTACTTCTCGTGGGAGATTGCCTCATGGCCAAATTCACAAGAAAAGAGATCAAGATCGCAAACATTCTCCTTGAACTCGTCGACCTCATTCCCCGATTCGATCGCCGGAATCCTAGGTTAGCTTTCCCCAGCTGGAATATGAAAAGGAGTCGATCCTCACCCCGCCGGCCTCATCTATTCCCCCGCTCAAACTCTTATTTTCACCACTAATATTGGAACGGTTCAAAGATACTGACGAACTATTCTATGCTTCTTAATCCGTTAAAATATCCGTTAACTACTCGACTCATCATATAAAACCATCTCTCGCCATCTGATTTCGTCATTCTCACTCATCAGTATTTTCTCCTTAAATTCACCGCTTCAAATCTTCTTTCTCATCTCAGATACAAAGATCTGAATTTGCTTCTGGTGGGTGATTGCCTCATGGCCAAATTCACAAGAAAAGAGATCAAGATCGCCGACATTCTCCTTGAACTCGTCGACCTCATTCACCAATTTCATGGCCCCATCACCATCTTCCATCTCTCCTCATGCTCACCATTCTAGTGAGGAGAATCCTTCCAAAGGGCGCAAGGATGGAATTATCGTCGACCTCAACAAAGATCCAGAGGAGATTTTCGCTTCTGAAGATCCGGATCCTTCGTCTTCGGAAAAGCCCTTCAGAACACAAGGGTTTTAAAGAAGAGAGTTTTACCGGCGTGAACGGGCGGAATTCAGATGAGAGAGTTCTCCTGGATGGTGACAAATTTGAGGTCGGCGTCATTATGAATGTACAATCTCCCAAAGTGACATTGGAGAAGAAACGAAAGAGGGAAGAACCGATGGATCACATATATACAGCTCATTTTGATATGTTGGTTGAGAGCTTGGGCTTTCAAATAAGATGTCTTGAGTTCGAGTCTTGTGTATGCGCTGTGTGTGTGAATTTGTCTTAAATGACCTAAATGTCCAAAAAAAAAGGATGAGGGTTATCATCCCTTTCCTACATCTCTGAAATTTTTGTGATGTCGACCTCAATTCTTTCTTCCCCTTTTGTATATTTCTAGATCTGAAGTTCAGCTTGCAGTTATTAATCAAATAGCTTCAATGATTCTTATAAGAAGAAGTGATTAAGGCTTCATTTGAGATAACTTTCTTACTGTTTCTTAAAACAACTTTTTAGTATAAAAATTTTAATTTTTTTATTCAAAAGCTGCTTTAAGAAGCAGTAAAAAAGTCATCCCAAAAGAAATCTAAGAGATTAAGACTTTGTTTAGGACGACTTTCTTATTGCTTCTTAAACCAACATTGTAGTATAAAATTTTTAATTTTTGTAATTAAAAGCTGCTTTAAGAAGTCGTAATAAGAAAGTCGTCCCAAATGATGCTTAAGGCTTCTTTCTCCAATGTGGTTAAGTAAGATCAAAATAAAGTGATAATCTTCTTTTTATAAGTAATTGAATGAAATAATGTTCGTTTGATACATTTTTTTTTTTCATATTTATTTTTTTGAAAAATATCCTTTCCTTCGTATGAAAATTTGTTTAATTTGCACCATGTATAAGCTAAATGAATCAACTTGGACAATTTTATTTTGTTTGACATGGCATGAATAGGGTTATTTTAAATCATGGAAAGTGAATCTCTTTTATCATAAGAAAACACCTTATAAAAGAAAAAGCCTAAAGGCAACTGCTATGTATGTATGTATATATATATATATATTGCAAAAAATTGGTTGAGGATATTATTAAGGTTTTGTTTGGGATGACTTTTTTGTTGCTTCTTAAAGCATTTTTTTAGTACAAAAATTTTAATTATTGTTGCGTCCTGGAATATTCGCGGCGGTAGAGAAATATATAGTTTAACGTCTTAGCGTTGTACGAAGATCCAGCACACAATCAGATAAGTGAGAGGGTGTAGCGTTCATAAGAGAATTTCATGATGCCGTATCAATTATTGAACTAAAAAGTCATTTTAAGAAGCAGCAAGAAAGACGTCCCAAACGAAGCCTAAGTCTTTTATTGGAGTAGATTTTAAATTTTTTAATTTTAATTTGAAATAAAAATTATTTATATATTACACTCATTTAAAAATATATCTAAAAACTTAAGATCCTAATATATATATATATTTCTTATATTTCTTATCATTTGATGGGCTCTTTATGAATATTTCCATAAATATGAATAATTTATGTTGCACTAATCTTAAAGTAAATTCAATGTTTTAGAGCACATTTTTATATAAATTGGAACAAGATATTCTTACAATTTTTTCATTAGAAAATAATTTTATCAAGCGTGAATGTAATAATCTTTAATAGACATACATAAATTAGTAATCCAATAAAAGAAAGAAAAATAATAATAAAGCTGTACAAATTCCTTCTACCCTCCAATTAACCATGTTGAATGCTTCAAAATCCTAATTTTAGCTAAAAATACAGCACAATTTTTTCATCTATGTATTGCCTCTAACCACCTAAATCAACTAAGGGGGGTGTTTGGTATAGGATTTACCCGTTGTTTTTAGTAGGATTTACTGTAAATCCAGCCAAACACAAATCGGGGCGCTATAAATCCAGCAAATCCGTAAGTCCAGGATTTATGGATTTACGCCATAAATTATCGGGGTTTATGGATTTACGCCATAAATCCGATAAATCTGTCTGAATCCTAATCCCATTTCTATTCGGATTTAACGCTCAATCGTAGAACTTCCCGCTGCAGAATCTGTTGCCAAATAGCTTCAGAGATTTAACAGGATTTAAAATTTTTCATACCAAATACTTTTCAGGATTTATGAGCCTATGATTTACTAAATCAGGATTTACAGTATTTACTATTTAGTAAATCCTATTAAAATTGAATCCAATCATATACAAAACACCCCCTAAATGTGCTTAATCTTACATCCTTTCTCATTTTTCTCACATCCCAGTTGTGCCCTTACACCACCGCCATATTCCATAACGGTCATGTCGGTGGCACAAGACTACAACGACATCGCCGTCGCCACCATCATCATCAACCACCTCCGCCACTCCTCCCTCCACCACCACCACCACCCACCCTCTTCCACCTTCTCCAACTCACCGTCATCTCAGCCCAATATCTAAAGCCGACCTGCTTTAAGACACAAACCTACGCACAAGCTTGGGTCGACCCAGACTACAAAGTCCAAACTCGGATTGACCGAGTTGGTGGAACCAACCCTGCTTGGAATGACAAACTCTTCTTCCGAGTCGACACCGACTTCCTCCGTTCAGACATCGCCGCCGTCACAATTGATATAAAGCAGGCCTCCTTAATGGCACTCCGGCCCGACCCGATCATTGGGACGGCAAGGCTAGTTCTTAGCACGGTGAACCCGTCTGACCCAATTCATGGCGGCTCAGTTCGACGGCCGAAATCGTTACGGCCGCAAGGGATACTAAATTTAGGGGTGGCGGTGTGCTCGGAAATTGAGATGGCAAAGAAGGATTTTGTCGGCCCAATGAGTTCGAGGAGGAGAGAGGACCGGGGGGCGATGGGGAGGGAGGTCGGGAAGGAGGAGGAGGTGGGAAGGTGGGTGGTAGATAAGGAGAGGAAGGCGCTGCAATTGAACCTGGAGAAGTGGAGGACGGAGATTTCGCCGGCAGCTGTGGATCCACACAGAAAGTTGCCCCCGGAGAAGAAGGAGAAGGCGGAGGTAAGATTGTTTGGCTGCTTTACCTGCGGCGAAAGAAGGGATTGAGCACGAGCGGCGAATGGTGATTTGGCAGGTTGTGGTGAACCAAATTCTAAATATTTGAGAATTAAATTATGAATAAGATTCTGTCGATCAATATTGTGATTTTGAATGAGCAAATCAATGGCAATGCCTCAACATTCATAAATATCTCATAGATTACTCCTCACGTCATCAACAAACTAAAATTTGCCAGTAATCTTAGATTTTAATTATACATACGCAAAACTTACTTTAGAAAAACTGTCTACAAAATTAGCAGTGCTCAGACTGTGCCATCAAACAGTATGAGGCATTGAGGTCCTTCAACCCAAATAGTAGTTCTTCTAAAATGATGGCTTGATTGTAGGGGAGTGAGTGTTCGGGTCGAGTTCATCTCGATAAGTAACTTATGAGTCGAGCTCTATAAACTAACAAATCAAGTTTAAACAAATCTTAATCCGGTAGCTCACGAGCTGACTCGAACATGAAATTCAATTAAAATATATTTGCATTAAAAATATTTAATACAAAATTATTTTAAAAAAAAAAGTTAAAATTATGTCTCTTAATAAATAACTTATGAGTCGAACTCTATAAACTAACAAATCAAGTTTAAGCAAATCTTAATCCGGTAGCTCATGAGCTGACTCGAACATAAAATTCAATTAAAATATATTTGCATTAAAAAAATTTAATACCAAATTATTTTTAAAAAAAGTTTAAAATATGTTTTTTTTTAATTATTTTATTTTAACTATTCAGTTTGTTATCATTTTATTACAATAATAATTTTATTTTATTTTTTTAACTTTTGAGCCAATTAAATAGGGGCGGAGAGAGCAATGGCAAAATTGTGTAGTAGAAAGTGGGGCCTCTAAAAAAATAAAACTCTTAGTACAATAAAGATTAATTGTAATCTGACCCATCTAAATTTTATTTTTTTCCAGCTATTTTTTTTAATGCAATATACCCCTCAAAAAATCGTAAAGCCTCTTAGCCTCCGATATTTTCATCTAATTATATTGAACTAGGGGTGTCAATTCAGGCCACCGGGTTGGATTTGAATCGAATACAAATTGACCCGGTTCGAAACGAGTCAACCCAAACCCAACCCATTTTTTACAAACAGGTTAGCTATTTCAACCCATCCCCGACCTGTGTTGCAAGGTTGACACAACCCAACCTAGATTTCTAGATTTGAATGAAAAACTGCGAGCTGGCCTACCCTCGCCTGTAGAGTAGACGAGCTTCAGTAGCATGCAAAGCAATGCAAAGAGACCTAAAGTGACGCGAGCTGTCGAGCAATGCACGCGAAGTGACTAGACGGGCCGGTTGGGCTGGTTCAGAAGGAACCGGCCTATCACTAACACATACATTATATATGCAAGTTTTGATCATAATACCTCTTTATTTATAATCAAAACTCTCAACCAACAAATCAAGATGAGCTGCAACCTTAAACATTTTTTTTTTTTTCATTTTCATAATAAACAAACCGGCTCATGCTCAAAACCTTAAGAATAAAACTCAGGCTCGAGCTCGATTTATTGATCAAGCCAACAGTGTCTCGAATCATCTTGACCCAGTTACACCCCTTCTTGATTATCTTAAATGTAGCAGCCTTTTGAGTTTCCACGTCCAGCACATTGGTTGGGCAATAGATACGCTTCTGCATCCAACAATGCACGTAATTTAATCTGAATAAACTCATCGGAGTGCCGCAATGATTTAAAAGTTGAAACATTTGGTACTAAAAAAAAGCAACCATTCACTCAACACAACAATGCAGAATTAGAAATAAGTGCTAGTAAGGTCTTAAATATTGCAATCTTCATCGAACATAGCAAAAGTTTACACTAAATAGGGAATATTTCAAGTAATTTTAAAATTGAAGATAGTTCACAAAAAACAACTAACAAAACGCAGATGACTGCTAGAAAGCAGAGCAAACATTGAAACTGGAACTGTTTAAAAAGCAGTGGGAGCAGCAGCGGCTGCCCTCTTCCTCGGTGCAGCTTGGGTTCCTGCAGGTAAAACAACAATATCTTAAGTTACAACCTTGGGTTATAGATTATCTCAATTTAGAGAATCAGAAAATGAGATAAAATCCCAAAAAAATCAAGAATGTGCTAAAGATTCTATAGAAAGTGGCTTATAATACCTTCTCTAAAGTTGCTTTTGAACCTTCGAGGTAAATGGCGAAGGTACCTCATCCTGCCTGTGCCAGTAGTCTTCCGCCTGATTGCTTTGATACTCCAGTTGTCTGATTCATGATTTGAAACGATTGGAAAGAAAGTTAGGTTCATCCTACCGACAATCTTTGAAATAAGTACCAGATCATAAAAATAAGTATTTACTGAAAGAAACTTGCTTACTTCAATACTAAATGGTGTAAATTTAGGGAAAGCGGATTATTTATTTGTTGATTATATTGCTAATAACAGACTTTACAAAAAGCAGCAACAAACATGGGGTCGACTGTATGAATTCTTTTCTTCGTTATTATGTCATGTTAAGAGTCAAATTCTCATTTAAATCTAATAAAGCAATGTCATTTCTAATATTTTCTAACCAATTCTTTTTAAGGTTAACCTCTACCTTTCTTAAAATAAGTCATCTATTTTCCTAATCGGGTCATCAGAAAGCTACCATTTTATGTGACCAACCCATCTAAAGTGACTCTCTCTAATCTTATCTTCCACCGGAGCTACTCCAACCTTTTCACATATATACTCATTTCATATTTTGTCTCTAAAAGTAAAGCGACTCGTCCACCAGAGCATCCTCATCCCTGCAACATTTAACTTAATATTATGCTTCTCTTTTGATGGCCAGCATTCTGCACCATAAATCATTATAGGTCTTATCACCATCTTATAGAATTTTCCCTTAAGTTTGAGGGAGACTTTTTCTATCATAAGCATTTACAATAAGCCATGTCAAAAAACAAATGTTTTAGTTTAGCAAAAGCTTAACAATGAAATTTGCATTAAAATGATAATTCCACTAATAAATAAATAAATAATACAACCTAACAAATTAATTAAACGGCATGTTCATGTTGACCATAAGGCCATATCATTCATCAAATAGAACTACTTTTACCATAGAAAATTGAAAAATATTAGTAAACCCCCCTGTTCCAGACAGCATAAACAATATGATTCACAAATCAGTTGAAATAGGCAGGATTACCAAGCTGTAACTGCTTATTGATCGTATAAGCAAATCGTTACAGCATCCTCTGTAACGTCCAGTTCAGGACAGATTTCAGATTGCCCAAAGCTTAAGTTCACAATGGTTTTTTTGTCATCAAGAAGTAAAGAAAAAAAACTACTGTAATGATGTAACTGAATATAATTTAAAAAAAAAAACATGCAAGTGGCAATTTCCCACATTTATCAAAATCCAACCATTTACCATCATCAAGAGCTCCAGTTCTTGATAATCTAGATAATAGACAAGGTATTAAAAATATTTCAGTTAAACAATATAAATAAGATTTTAATCAATTTAGATATATAAGAATCAATAATAGTAATATCGTAGCTAACAATCTAGGCAACGAAAAACAGATGAAAAACAGATGAAAAACAATCCTGCAATAAAATATTGCATGAGTTTAAAAATATATTGAAAAAACAAATGAAAAAAATATGACGTATATTATAAAATTAAAAAGGAGTTATCAGGGAAGGAATTGCATAAAGGTGAATTCTAAAGTTCAAATGAGATGCTTACTAACATATCTCATTCAGAGTTCTAAGAAAATCTACAGTTAGCCAAATGAGCGGACAAAAAACATTTTAACGCCAGTAATATGGAAGAAGAAGATTGTGATAACTACAAAGAATTCAAACATGTAAGTCATACAACAAAGCTATGGAAGAAAATTATGATAAAAAGACTCAAAAGAATTTTACAAAAACATCAAAAAATCAATAATGGAAACAATTTCATTCCTAAAAGAGCGATGAAAAAAGCATTGAAAATAGAAAAATGATCTTCATATGATTTGCAATGATCTTAAAGAGATACAACTGAGTATCATGAGAATTGACTTGGTGCACTTGAGAAAAAAATCCATGAGTCAGGTTGGGCTGTCAAAAAAAGCTCATCATTCACGATTCATCTCATTAAGAAGCTTGTATTTGATGATGCGTCCATTAAGCAAACCAAACACAAACAAATATTTTGAACTCAGATTTTTAAATGAGCTATACCCAACAAACTTTTGTTCAATCATGTTCGGCTCCTTATTGGCTCAAAATAAATAAACAGATGAATATATCTTTAATTTAAATATTATAATTTTTATATTTTTAAGATTTACTAATTAATTAGTGGATAAACACATTCACAAAAAATTTTAAACAGAGTCAACTACAAATAAACTAAATTTCAAATGAGTAAAACTCAAAAAAAATTGTCAAATCACTCAAGCTCTGCCCATTTAACACCCCTAATATAAACGGCATGTTTAAACTATTATTAAAGCAATATGGCAAAGGGGAATTTAGTGTTATATTTGGTGATGAATAAAGAGTATTCAATTAAAATGAGAATGCATCAAAGATGTATATTCAATTCAAACATTTATGTGTTTGTTATGAAGATGCTTATATGAATAACCTCATATTCAAAGTCAGACACATTAGTGCATACATTTCATGTCATGTATGATAAATTTTAATTAGTGTGGCATCAACTAAAATCAATAACAAAGGAGAAATCAATTAGAAGATAAATGGTTTAAGAATAGCAAAATATAAATCAAGAATATGACATACTCTTTTGGTAGGGATAAAATTAGCATTTATTAGCCAATATTACTAATGGTACATGAGTGTGATAGATTTACGTATCTCAAACTGCTATATAGAAAAATAATGATATTGAAAAGCATGTAAGTTCTATGACTAAGCTCCTAAGGATGGATGTTTAATAAAAGTATTCTTGCATAATTTAATGGATATTAAAAGTAGATTTTAGAAAATTGCAATTACATTAGCTATCTTGTATGAATTTACGCAATCAGATTAAAAAAACACAAATAGTTAATTTTGACTAAAAATAGATTGTTAAAATATATGTTTGGCAAAACAGTGAAGAAAATATTAAGTGATAAGTATATTAAAAGATTGTGTTAATAGCATCTATTGAAGATAAGGTAAATCATAAGAATGAAAACAAATGGAGAATAATGATTCAAATAACTAAAAACGGTTGGGGTAAAGATGATGGCAAATCATAATAATGAAAACAAATGGAGAATGATGATTCATGTAACAAAAAATAATTGGGTTAAAAATGATAATGATGGGTATTTCTAACCCAATACCACTAGTAATATTCGTAGAAGTCCTAATTTTTTTATCATTTCAATGTCTTTTAAAATAATGTTTAGAAAATATTAAGACGACATAGTTATGACTGTTAGCACACCGTGAGGACTGCCAGCACACCATGAGGATCACCTTCCCCTGCTACCAAACCTGCTCCACTGCACCTGCCATAGCACTCTGCCACCAGCCGTTTAGCACATTCTCTATAACCAATTGTCCTCTACTTATCTCTATATATATAAACACTCAGGTATCTGAACATAGACATACAATGCTACAGTATATTATACAAAAAAAAATCTCTTTTGTTGTTCTTCTTCTTCTCTGCTACTCAATCTGTTTCGAAGGTCCTTGCATGGTATCAGAACCTCAGCTTAACCGCAATCTACCTACAGTCTAATGGCCAATCAAGAATCAGTTGCTTCCCTCCCACCAAACTCCAACCTTTCCGCCTCCATGGCTGAGTTCATCGTACCTCCTTCCCTCAAATTCCTCATATCTAACCTCAAGCATATTGTCCCTACACAACTTACCAATAACAACTATGACATTTGGCAACTGCAAATCTATCAGCACTTCTCCGCCAAAGGCTTTGAGGGCTACCTCACCGGCCCTTCATCTACTTTTGCAAATGACGCCTACCGCCTATGGTATCTTATAGACCGCAACCTAATATCAACTCTCTTCTCCACCATATCACCATCTGTATTACCTTATGTGCTCGCTCTTTGCAGCGACACGAGGTCTGGATCACCTTGAAAACGTCTACAATCCACAAATCGCTTCCGCGTCATTTAACTCAAAAACGAGCTTCACCATATTCAAATGCGCGACTGCTCAATGACCCATTACCTTGCTCAAATCAAGTCCCTCATGGACAACATTGCAACGGTAGGCTCACATATCGACTCCGAGGACATCATCCTATACATCCTAAACAGCCTTCCCACCACCTCTAACTCCTTCAAAACAACTATTCGCACCTCTCTGAATCTCATTAGCTTAGATTCCCTCTACTGATTAATGTGCAACGAGGAAATCAATCTTCTGAACAAAGATCTCAAAGAAACCACTCATCCATTGGATACTACTGCTCTATTCTAAAAACGCATTGGCCCCACACGCAATCGCTCCACAAGCAACAATCCTGTTCGTCCCTCGCGTGGCCAAGAAACCACACCTCGCCCATCATTCTCCTCCAATTGGTCGCCCTTGTCCACACCATCTCCCTCCAACCATCTTACCTACCAAATTTGCGGCAAACCGGGACACTGAGCACTCAACTGTTGGCATCGCTGCAATTTCCACTTCGCGCCAACCTCCTAATGGAACTCATGTGCTCTACTCACACAGCAGCATTCATCTCCCATGACCGAATGAGTACTTGAATATGGCACTTCAACCCATCTCACATCGAACGCCCCTAATCTATAACAACCCACACCATATCAAGGGGTCGATTCCATCTCCAAAGCCAAAGGTAGCTCTCTCCCCATACAGCACAGTGGCTAGGGCCTCCTCCCTCTAACTTATTCCACCCGTAAACTTTGTCTTCAAAATCTCCTCCACGTTATGTCTCTCTCTCTCACTACCTTCTCTCTATATCTACAGGACAATCAAACTCTACTACATGGTCACTGCCATGATGCCATTTACCTAGTACACATTTCTCCAATCAACAACTCAATTGTGCTCCATGTACAACTCCACCTCCCTTTGGCAGGTGCATCTGGCCATCCCCATCACCGTCTTTTATCTACATGAGCTAAACACATACCATCTTTATGTAATTCCTCTTATTCATACATGTGTATCTCTTGTAATGTGGCTAAAAGCCACAAGCTACCTTTTAATACAAGCAATTCATCTTCCACTACACCGTTTCAACTAATTCATTCGGATGTCTCGCGACGTTGTTGCCTTCTCTCAACGGCTACAATTATGTTATATTCAAAGCCGACTTCACAAGGTTCTGTTGGTTATACTTAATGAACTCCAAGCAATAAACATTCAATAAGTTTCAACAGTTATGTTCTCTAATTAAAAACACATTCAATTTCCACGTCAAAGCTCTACGGTCCGACGGGCCAACGAATTCACAAGCAAACTCTTCAGAACCTACTGCTTAACCACGACATCACTCACCAAGTCAGCTATCCTTACGAACATAATGGATTAGCTGAACACAAGCACCGCCACATTCTCAATCTTACCAGGACACTCCTTCACGCAGCTCACCTTTCCCTACACTTCTAGGTTGAGGCTTTATCAACCTCAAACTATCTCATCAATAGCCTCCCCACCAAAGCCATCTCCCTACAAATTCCCTACCACAAACTCCACGGCCATCCTCCATCCTACACTCATCTCCGAACATTTAGCTGTCCTTGTTTCCCTTGGTTGCAACCTCAAGCCGCTAACAATCTCTCACCTCGCTCTCAAGAATGCATATTCCTGGGCACTCAACTTCTCATAAAGGCTATAGATGCCTCAACCTTCACACCAACATAATTCACATATCCTTTCATGTTGTGTTCCATGACCAAATATTCCCATACAACTCCTCATCAACCACCACATCTTCAATATTCCCATATGGTCTGATGGGCCAGCAAATTCACAAGCAAACTCTTCAGAACCTATCTGCTTAACCACAACATCACTCACCAAGTCAGCTATCCTTACACCCCCGAACATAATGGATTAGCTGAACACAAGCACCGCCACATTCTCGATCTTACCAGGACACTCCTTCACGCGGCTCACCTTTCCCTACACTTCTAGGTTGAGGCTTTATCAACCTCAAACTATCTCATCAATAGCCTCCCCACCAAAGCCATCTCCCTACAAATTCCCTACCAAAAACTCCACGGCCATCCTCCATCCTACACTCATCTCCGAACATTTAGCTGTCCTTGTTTCCCTTGGTTGCAACCTCAAGCCCTAACAATCTCTCACCTCGCTCTCAAGAATGCATATTCCTGGGCACTCAACTTCTCATAAAGGCTATAGATGCCTCAACCTTCACACCAACATAATTCACATATCCTTTCATGTTGTGTTCCATGACCAAATATTCCCATACAACTCATCAACCACCACATCTTCAATACTCCCCCACCCCCCCCCTTTGGCCCGATGGTCAGGTTGGTCGTTATAAGGCTCATTTGGTCCCCAAGGCTTCACACAGGTGTATGGCATCAACTACACTTAGATGTTTAGACTCATCGCCAAGATGCCCACTATTTGAATTCTTCTTACCTTAGCTCTTCATCGTCACTGGTCCATCCTTCAAAAGAATGTCTCTAACGCCTTCCTACAGGATGAACTTCAGGATGAAGTACAAATGATACAACCGCCCGGGTTTATTGATTCTCAATACCCCAACCATGTTTGTAAGCTGCACAAGTCCATTTATAGACTCAAGCAAGCCCCTTGACAGTGGCTCCACAAGCTGACTTCATTTCTTCTTCACTTCGGCTTCTTTTTCAGCAAACCCAACCCACTTCTCCTCACCTACTTAAAATCTATCATATAATTGTATTTACTGATCTATATTGACAATATCCTTCTTGCCAATAACGATTTCTCCATCATTCAGAACCTCCTCTCGCAATTACAGGCCACCTTCTCCATCAAACAATTCGATGAGGTCTCTGTATTTCTCTGCATTCAAGTCACTCAGACGGATGCAGGCTTCTTCCTACATCAACAACACTACACTCGTGACCTATTAATTGCAGTTGGTCTCGCAAATTGTAAACATGCTCTCACACTGATGTCCCTCAAACCCCCACAAGGAAAATCTGTCGATCAACTTTATAGTGACCCACATCTCTATTGCGGATTTGTTGGCTCCATTCACTATTTAACCATCACAAGATCGAACATCACCTTTGCTGCCAATTTGATATGTCAACATATGCACCAACCGACAAATAGGTACTACCAATCTCTCAAATGGCTCCTTCAGTATGTTCAAGGCACACTACACTATGGCCTAACTCTAACTACAGGTGATCTTCAACTCCGCACATACGTTGATGCAGACTGGGCTGCCGACTCCACTGACCGAAAGTCAATCATTGTCTTTTGCACATTTCTAGGGAACAACCTCATCTCTTGGTGTGTCAAGAAGCAGGCAATTATGGCCAAATCTTCGACTGAAGCAAAATACCGCTCCCTCTCATCCACCACTTTTGACGTCCTATGGCTTCATCACCTAGTGGTTCAATTTCAACTACCTCAAGCCTCGCGGACCACCATCTATTATGACAATACTTCAGCTATAACACTCACAAACAATACAGTATTCCATGCTAGGACCAAACATATCGAAATTGATTACCACTTTATCAACAAGCACATAAAAAACAAGGCCATAACAGTTTCTCACATCAACTAGGCTAATTAACTTGTTGACCTCCTCACCAACTCAGTTCTGCCAGTCCTGCTCCACTGCATCTTCTATAGCAGTCTGTCACCAGTCGTTTAGCACATTCTCTATAATCAGTTGTCCTTTACTTATCACTATATATATACACACTCATGTATCTAAACATATACATACAATGCTATAGTAATTTATATGAAAAATAATTCTCTTCTATAATTCTTCTTCTTCTTTGTTAATCTGTTTCATAGGTCCTTTCAATGACATCTTATCATTACTCCATTAATATTCTTGAATTCATTATATCAAGAGTGACCGTATAAAAAAAAATATTTTAATTAGTTAAATGGGGCTCACAAAAAATCTGGTGACAACATGTAGCAATACTTTAAATTTTTATACTTACCATGTATGCAACCCAAAAAATAGCCTTTCTATGGAAAACTCTTTGATGGTTAGTTTCATGCATTAAGAAAAACAAGGTAAGGCATCTACCCTTGCAATCAATAAATCTATTTATCCTATGTCAACTAGCATGCAACACTTAATAGTGATGAAAATAGAATAATAATTCATAGTGTTCGGATATGGCAAGTAATAATAAAGATGTGTCGCCGCCTATTGAATGTTCAATTATAAAAAAACTCGCACGTTAAGAATAGGTAGTATTTAGACAAATATACTAAGAATGCATGTAATACAAAGAACTTTTCTTTCCAAAATGGATGATTCCATGCAATAGGAAAAGTAGGATAATTAATATTTCACCACAAGCAATAAATTAGCTAAGTATATTTTCGTAAGGCATTTCACATTCCACAATAAAACTTTATGCAAAAGGAAAATAAAATAACATAGAAGAACATTGAATAAGATGAATTATAGTAGAACACTACAATAAATGTTTGGGCGAATAATCGACACCAACTAGAAATAAATAATACCAACCAGAACAAGTTCTATTAGCAAGTCCTTTCATGCACAAAGCAAATGTGGGCAGCAGACCATTTAGACTCGCTTTGTTAAAAAAAGCACATTTTATACGCAAAAACTATGTTTCTTAACAGCCCACACTGGCAATGATAACAAACTGCTTTAGGGATCAAACATTTATGAGAATAATCATCTTCTATTGTCTTTCAAGTTACAATTAATAGTATAACATCAAAACTCAGGTGATGAATATGGACTTGTGTATAAAAGAGTGATTAAATACCTCCAATTTCATTAAAAAAAGAAATATTCCAACAAAATCATACTTTAATCTAGAGTTCAAAGTTATTTTTTTAGCTTCAACCAGGTACTTGTCACCAAAACTTCCATAAAGAGCAAGTATCCCCAACATCCACATAACCTTTCAACGCAAACTAAAAATCAAGCATACAACTTAAATTTTAGAGAAAAATATATATATATATATATATTATATGTCTGTTCTTTTGAAACTGGGAAAGAGCAATAAAGAAGAAAAATGAAATTAAGATAAACATAATGGAAGCACGTAAAAGATTAATAAAAGAAGAGTCATTGAACAGAAGTTCTCTTTTAGCTTTCAATTTAAAAAAAAAAAAGAGAAAAAATATCTTACCAACGAATTGGAATTGTGGCCACGTTTATTGGCAGCAAATGTATAGATAATAAAAAACATTGCTACAGTTTGATGACATATAACATCAACATATGCAATTCATAAACAAACGAATTCTCAATGCTTGTCCGATAATGGTCATCCAAGCATAAAACTTCATAATTATAAAAGAAGCAAAAAATCAAAGAACATTACAGAATATTGAACTTGCATATCCTGCAAACAATAGCATCCTCAAATATCAATAAAAACAGTTAAACATCCCAGTCTAATCAGAAAACACAAAACATAAATTGCACGATTACTCCCAAAAAGTTCGAGAACAAAAAAGGTCTGAATCCTTGCTTACACTTGCGGATGCGAGCGGCCGGATAGCCGCAGGAGGAGCATGTGCTCTTCTGGAGGTGAAAGCTCCTTCTGCCGCACCTCACGCAAAGCGTGTGAGTCTTGTTCCTCCGCTTACCGAAAGAGCCCGTGCCTTTACCCTAAAAAGAAAAATTCAAGCAGCTTTAGAGCTTACAAGCTAAAATTCGCGTTTTACATCATGGATCTCACCATTTTCGCTTGGCGGACTGCGTGGAAGAGGCAGCGTATGAAACCCTAAAAAGATCGAAGTTCTTATTGTAGGCCTTCTTATAGTTCCATGCCGTGAGTTCAATTACCTTTTTACCCTTTTATTTAAAATTTATACTAAGTTTATTATTTTTTATGATATCATTAAGGTTATGTTAATCATAAGACAATTATCATTGCTATAGCGATTACAAAATGATGTTCAAATCATGGAAATCAAATGATGTTGGTTAGATAACCACAAATATACGATTTGTAATAACTCTTATGTGCATTAGATTAATTATTTATTAATATCGTGTTAATGATCAAATAGAACCACATTTAAATTCTGACATTTTTTAAATTTTTGCATGAGAGCATTGTGGCACTGATCTAGTTAGCATGGTGATTTTTGCTTCTTTGTTTGGAGAGTTCTAAGTTGGTAGGCACAATGGCATTGTAGTTGGGCAATGCAATGTCAATGTCTTGGATCTCTTGTGTTTTGGGAGCAATGTTGTGACGTTTGCACTAAGTCTCTAGAAAAAATTAATATTTCATTTCATTATCCATTTAATATCCCAAAACCCATAAAAACCCCTATTTTCAACCGTTGTAGTTGGGGGTAAGGAGAGAGAGAGAGAGAGCAAAAGAGAGAGGAGAGAACATTTTGTTTTAGGAAATTTTCATCCATCAACCTATTTAGCAAAATTATTCTAATCAAGGTAATTGACTTTAACTATACTTATATTTTTGATAATTTTAATTTTACTCAATTAATCTTTCCTAAATCTGATTAGAATGCATTATCTCCTAATTTTAAAAAGTTTTCACTCTGTAACTTATTATATGTAGTATAAATGACTAATCTAAACAAATTAATATGATCATATTATAATTTTACATGTATGATATTTTAACTAAATTGATCAAGATAATGGCGTGTATAAAATGGGTAAAAGCTATTGTATATGATATAGACATAAAGTACATGGCATGCAAAGTATTATAGTGCATCTGATATGACATACATTCTAACATTAGTATATTTCTATATTTGTTATACGAGTCTATTGTTATTCAATTGTACAAGAATGATTTATATGTTGCTTGTTTCATTAGATATGCACATTAAATATGATAATGTTATTCATTATACTATGAATAATTTTGACATATATGTGTAAATAAGAATGGTTGGCTATTGTCATTGATTGATTCAAGCCGGTTGTAATAAGATACCTTGTACAAGAGAGTGAGATGATGAGCTTTCATTTAGATGAGATGTTTGTAATGTGAACCCAGTACTAAATACAAGAAGGGAATCATACGGGAATAATATAATATGTCATGAGTGATGGCTCTTAGAAGAAGCCACCTAACTATGATTTGACTATCACTAATTATGACTTGTATGACAAGATGCAGGAAAAACATATGATTAAGGAGAGAGAGAGCAAAAGAGAGAGGAGAGAACATTTTGTTTTAGGAAATTTTCATCCATCAACCTATTTAGCAAAATTATTCTAATCAAGGTAATTGACTTTAACTCTACTTATATTTTTGATAATTTTAATTTTACTCAATTGATCTTTCCTAAATCTGATTAGCATGTATTATCTCCTAATTTTAATAAGTTTTCGCTGTGTAACTTCTTATATGTACTATAAATGATTAATCTAAACAAGTTAATATGATCATATTATAATTTTACATGTACGATATTTTAACTAAATTGATCAGGATAAGGGCGTGTATAAACTGGGTAAAAGCTATTGTATATGGTCTAGACATATAAGTACATGACATGCAAAATATTATAGTGCATCTGATCTGACATACATTCTAACATTAGTATATTGATATATTTGTTATACGGGTCTATTGTAGTTAAATTGTACAAGAATGATTTATATTTTGCTTGTTTCATTAGATATGCACATTGAATATGATAATGTTATTCATTATACTATGAATAATTTTGGCATATATGTGTAAATAAGAAGGGTTGCCTAGTGTCATTGATTGATTCAAGCCGGTTGTAATAAGATACCTTGTACAAGAGAGTGAGATGATGAGCTTTCATTTAAATGAGATGTTTATAATGTGAACCCAGATCTAGATACAAGAAGGGAATCATAAGGGGATAATATAATATATGTCATGAGTGATGGCTCTTATAAGAAGCCACCTAACTATGATTTAACTACCACTAGTTATGACCTATATGACAAGATGCAGGAAAAACATATTATTAAATGTGTTTATTGGCTTAAAATATTATGTATTTTGTGTATATAACATAATTTCATTTGATTAAACATTATATATTAAGAGATATGCACATGCCAGTGATAACTTGACTAAAATTATAGAAATATGACATGCATTCATAATCAATTTCACATGTATATATGTGGTGTGCGTACCTTGATAGGCATGGATATGTTGCATTGATAATAATGATAATTGCTCTGTCCTTATAATTGATACAAACTGATCAAGTAACTAAAACATTGCATATGATAGTAGTTTATGTAATACATTAATACAATTAATGTGATTACACTAATTCATATGCTATTACATAATAAAACATTTCATGTGATGCACTTGAATATGATTGAATATGAGATTAAAAATTAAAATATGCATATTGATTATGTTTTGTGTGGGTATTATAGTTATATATTATGGAAACTAATTGGGTTGTTAGTTTTATCGATTATGTTGTTTATATATTTCAAGGATGGATAAGGACCCAATAGAGTGCGGCCGGTTCAGTATTACTGGTTTTACATATTTTAATTTTTGTTGCTCTTTTTTTTCATAAATGTTATTGATAAAGTTGTGCGAGTGATGAAGTTCATGACTACTGTAAATGATTCTTTTGGGACTTGATAGTAACATATGTTTTGATGTTGATATGAAATGAGCGTTAATTTCACTATAAGTTAGAATATAAATGGTTGTAATGGCTTTGGGAGAAGATAAAAGACAATTCTTTCCAAATAGGTTGTGGGTATATGTTTGGTGTCTCCTCATCCAAGTTATCATATTAAGGGTACCTTTAAGTTGGGTTGGGGTGTGACATGGTGATAGTCGAATGATGGGATATAAACTATCATAGCTAGAGGACAATAGTTAGATGGTGAAATTCAGACAATGATGATCTAATGATGGCAGTCAAATAATGGCGATATTTGTAGGTGATCGTCAACATCAAGTATAGCTACTGAGTTTTTCAATGCTCCAAGCACTTTCCAAACTCAAAAAATTTAACTCATGTGGAGAATGTGGGTCTATTATTGTGGCTTGGGAGCAATATTTTGATAAATCAAACCATGATTTCATAACACTATAAGATGTGTCATATTGAATCTTTTGATTATAAATTGATTATTTGGCGTTTAAATACCTTAATGATATGGGGCTTGTTTGATTCATCTCGTCGAGCTGCTATATTTGATCATAAGCATACGAGATTTATAGACAATTTAATTATTTGATTAATGTCATGATTTTTTCAATCATACTTCATGTGCATAATTTGGGTTCATTTGACGGGAGTCGCATCACGCGACTGACCGCTGACGCGGAGCCAAGGATTGAGCGATAGCAACTCGACTCGATGCGTCAGAGTCAGGTCTTTTCGAGGGTAGGGCAGGTAGGACGGGGTAGAAGACTCGGGCATAACCAATTCCGGGTCAGTTTCGGGTTATTTTCGAGTTTCGGGTCAATCCGAACACAACCCAAAACTCAAATCGGGTCAGTTATTTGAACATGAACCTGGCCCGTTTGCTAACTAGGTTGAACTGAACCCGGATTTTTTCAGGTCAGGTTCGGGTCATGTTTTGGGTCGTGTCAAAATTTGACACCCTAACTTTGAGTCTAAAGAGGTGTTTGGTATCATATTAGATTAACTTTAGTGGGATTTAGTAAATCCTATAAATCCGAATTTAATAAATTACGAGGCTACTAAATCCTTAAAAGTATTTGATATGATAAATATTAAATACTGTTAAATTCTAAGAAGATGTTTGACAATGTATTTCAAAATTTATTGTAGTCAGATATTTAAATTGTATGATTATCAAAATTATTAAGTTTGAATTACTCATTAATTATTATTTACAATATTAATTATATATTTAGTGATATATATTTTAAGTTATATTATTTTAGCTAATTATTTTATATTTAATTACTAATATATCATTAATTATTCAATTAAGTTAAGTTAAATAATTAATTTATGCACTAATTATACTATTAATTATTTTATTAATGTTTAAATTATATTAATTAAGTTAATCAATAATAACTTTGAGGCGTTAGGGTTTGCCTTTCGTCGGCAACCGGGAAGACTTTCGTTTTTTAATTATCAAACAAATACGTTCATGAACATATCTATGAACAAACACATTTATAATAAAAGCAATTGTACATGTAATAAAGGCAATGATTATTTATATTTATTAATTTTATAGTCAAATATTAATTATTTTTATCTAGCTTATTTACGAGTTCAAAATCGAAAACGAATCAAGCTTCTTATCGAGCTTAATATCGAGTTTGTTCACGAACTTCAAATGATGTTGTTCGTGAACATAAATAAGCCGAATACATTAGTGCTCAAGTTTGTTTATTTAAGAATATAGTATTTAAAATATTGTTCAAGTTTATTTGTTTAGCTAATTAAACGATCACAAACGAACTTTAATCGAACCGAACAACCAAAACGTTTGGTTGGCTTGCGGCCTTAGATTAGGATTTACCGAAATTTATGCCCTAAATCCCTAAATCCAGAATTTACTGAGTCGCCGGATTTAGTTGCGCTCGGAAAGGTGTTTGGCTGGATTTAAGTGAACACAAATCCGATACCCAACACCCCCTAATAGTGTTAGGCACTTAGGCATGTATAGGAATTATTATTGCGTCCTCCCACCTGACGTAGAGATGCGTCCTCCCAAAGCTAAAATCGCGCTAAAAAACGAGAAATGCCAAGCAAATACCGAGCAATACCAAACAATAACAAAGAATATTATCATGTGAAGATCAATACCGAGCTATACCGAGCAATACCGAGCAATAAAAAAAATACATAGTTTTTCCTAGAGAAAACTCGGTATGTGCTCGGTATAACTCGGTATTGGTCTTCACATGATGATATTCCTCGTTATTACTAAATAATATCTAGCCAGAGCAAAAACCGAGAGTACGCATCTCTACGTAAGTGGGAGGACTCCAATAAAAATTCCATGTATAGGGTATGCTTTTCCTCGTTTCCATGTCTTCGTTGCTGCTTCGGCTTCGCGTGCTACGGGGTGAAGTAGAGTTTTGAGAGAGTCGCTGAAGGAAGCTGTTTGGCCTCCTTCGACAACGTCGTTCCTGTCGGATCGGAAGTCACGACGGGAGCTTGCCGCCTAGGTAATGATCTTTCACCCCCTTCGCGCGCTTCTTTGGCTAAACTATCGGATTTAGGAAAAAGATTCATGTCTGGTTCCGTAGGTTATAATATAATCCATTTTTCCGTTTATTTTTTTTGTTTTTTTCTGTTGGATAGATTTGTATCAATGAAGGCACTTTTCAAACAACTATGCATAACATATTCGATTTCAACATTGTTATTCGTATCTGTAGGTATTTTTGGCATGGATATTCCTATTCCCCAGGATAAGTTGGTCCTGGGGCATCCCGAAGAAGCTAGTTCCTCCTTAACTCTAAATAAGTAAGCACACTCATATCCTGGTTTAGCGAATATATGACGTGTTAGTTGTAGGAGTTTACTACTGTATCAATGTTATATCCTTCATTCAAAAATCATTTGAACTGTCTAATGGGAAAAAAATGTAGATACTTGAACATTGCATTCGTCAATACAAAGTTCCTTTTGTTTTAGTGAGCGTAAATTTCTATTAATCTTTGTAAGTTGACACGAAAAGGTTAATTATGATAAGGCTAATCATGATGATGATGAAATTTCCAATGTGTGGTTCTCTTTTACATTTTATGCGGTGATGCTATTCACAAGTTATTGTGAGCTTCCACTTGTTAAGTTTTTTGATAGCTTATGCACATTAATAAAAAACATCTTTCTAGTATGTATTTTCCTTTGTGTACTTTTTATGCAATTGTCAGGAATTCCAACTTTGTTGTTCTGGTATCTCCCGGAAGCTTCAATCCTCCAACATACATGCACATGCGCATGTTTGGTGAGTTTTTTAAATGTCTTCTAATGTTTTTTACTGTTCTTGAAAGTAGGATATCTAATAGTTATATTATGCTTTGTGGTCAAAGATTCATGTCTGGTTATTGTATTTATTTCTATGATATATATATTTTTTCTGATAACGAGACATTCACTTGGGCAAATGTGATGATTACCTTATCTTTCTTACATTGCATTTTACCTGTAAAATTTGAAAACTTGTAATGCTGCATTATGCTGAAATATTGGAAACTATACTGACCATATGATGAATATGCATATAAGGATATGGATCTTAGTATCTATTTTATATAAACCAGAAAGTTGAATTTATATCCATGTTGTTATGTAAACTTATGTAGGGAGGTGGCTTGGTGAGTTGTTGGAAGTCTGTTTTGAGGTTGTTTTGTGCTTAAATTGGAGGAAGTTGGGTTGATTAGGAAATGGATTAGAATTTGAATTTGAAAGGAATTTGTTGGTAAAGGTGCTTCGAAGGGGTTAGGGCTGGGTGGATCATAGGGATTTTAGTGTGATAGTGTGATGGTATGTAGGGGTGTCAATTCGTGTCGGCAGGTCGTGTTCGGGTCAGACCCGAATTTGACCCGGCTGTAACTGACATGACCCGGAATTGATTTCGGGTCAATTCTGTAGACCCGAACCCGACCCGGATCGTGTTCGTGTCAACACGACCCGACACAGAAAAATTTAAATGACGACGCTGCTACTTTCTCCACGTCCGACTGCGGCCTTCTCTGCCGCCGCTTCTTCTCTCAGCCGTCTCTTATTACCCCTCCCCTGCCACAACTTTGTTGTTCCTCCCGTCTCCTCTCTCGCAATTGCTGCCGTTTCCACCGCCACTGGCGATCCCATCTCCACTCATCGACTTCCTTTCCTCCTCTATATCCATCGCTGAGGAAGCTGACCCCGACGGACCGCCTCCAGCTGAGCTCTCGCCCGAGGAGCTTTGCCTTGCTGAGTCCTACCGCTCCGTTCCTGCTGTTCTGTGGCACTCCCTGCTCAAATCCTTTGCCTCCGAACTTGCTTCTCTCTCCACCGCCACTGCCCTCGTCCAGTGGCTTCTCCGCCGCCGCCTTTGTTTCTCCTCCGATCTCCTCTACTCCATCCTCATCCACTCCCTGGGCCGCCACCGCCACCTCCAACTTCTTCTTCCTCGCTTTCCCCTATTTCCTCGCCACCACCTCCTCTAATTTTTACGGGTTGAAATCGGGTCATATTCGGGTTTCCGGGTTGACCCGAACACGACCCGAAACTCAAATCGGGTCATTTTCTCTAACCCGAACACGACCCGTTTGCTACCCGGGTCGACTCGAACACGGATTTTTCCGTGTCGTTTCTGGGTCGTGTTTCGGGTCGTGTCGAATATTGACAGCCCTAATGGTATGAACATGGAATGGTGATTGCTATAGTGAGGGTCGAGTCCTATGGGGGGGAGAAGGATCAACCACCATGGGAATATAACTCTTTTGCGAAAGCTTTTACCATCATATTTCTGATCGCAACCTCGTATTTACGACTGTTATAGTCATTTATGATCCGTCATAAAAACTTGTGGCAATTAAATTAAGACCTTATAGAATGATCTCAGATATATATTAGGATTGTATTAGGCCGCAAATACATGGTTGTGAAGATCTCCCTTAAAACAAATGACCACTTATTGCGATTGTCTTGATTACAATCTTGAAGCTCCATAATTTTTTTGCAACTAGATTCAGTTGTAACGTCTTATAGACCAGCCATTATTTGGTTGCATTTTGAATTTATACAACATGCAAATACACAAAACGTCAAACAAGACAACTGTCACTATATATGCAATCAATTTTCAAATTAATAACTCAAAATAACTATAAAATTAACTCAATTTCAAAACAATTTGACCCAAGTATATATGCAATCAAATTTCAATTAACTTAATTTTTATACAAATATTAATATAGTTTCGTGCATGAGTTCCTATGCAATAATTTTAAAAATTGTTGTCATCAACAAGAAACACAAAAAAACTTAAAATGAAGTAAATAAAACTCTCACTCCTCACTTTCATTATTGTTATCATTATTTTCATAGTCTTCATCATCATTATTGTTGTCGTCTTCATTTGTATTATCCTGAGTACCGACCAAAACACCTATTGCTGTAGCTTTTGTTAGCATAGACAACATGCTTTCTTAGACTTCTCACCGTGTAACCAATTATTCTTGATGCTAGCACCATTTTGCTCTCTATGGGTGGATGATCATCTTCTATCCTCATAATGACCTTCAAATGTATATATGTGGCCCCTAGTCACCCCCATAGTTTTCATCCATACATAAGGCTTGAACTCATGTGGCGTAGCATCCTCCACACCATATTTTAGCTCATAGTTGCCTCATCGTTTTTGTTGCATATATGTGTCATTATTACTTATTCTTCATGAAAGTTAGCAAGCAAAATTATAATTCCATGCCTACAACAAAGTCATGGGGAATGAGATTTTATGTAAGTCATTTGTCCCTATCTTCATACGATTCCTTTGGAGGAGCTTAATTTTTGCTTGAGCTCTTTTCAATTATTTTCTTTATAGTGCGTAACACATTAAACAATCATTATAATAAGATATTTATTTTAATATCTTGATATGTAAAGCTATTCAAAACTAAAATACTGCTTATGTCATGACCCAACCCAAAATCTTGAATTAACGAGGCATAAACAGACGATCGAACAAATATCATTATTTTTTGTTAATAATAAATATTTAATAAACTAAATATTCAAATATAACTAAAGAGCTACTAAAATAATTTTCAATCAAAACATACCATAAAACAATTCTTACCTATTTCAATTGACCTTCAGTACACAAAACATTCTTTATTAGCCATTTAATCAACAGGGGATATACCTGAAATTTCAATTTAATAATTTGAGTTTTCAAAAATAAACTTTATGCTAAAAAAAAAAAACACACAAACACAAACTATGATTGAATAATAAAAAGACTTGTCTTCCTTCAAAATATCAAAACACACACTAAATAGGACACGACAAAGCTTCTGACTACTCTTAGAAGCCACCTTAAATTACATTAAGACAAGACACGACGCAACTACGTTGCAACTTACAATTTTTAAATAGAAGAAAGATACAGATGGGGCGGGAACTGTGGATAGAGAAGAAGGGGTTAGAAGACCGAGACGAAATAATAGAGGGGAAGGTAAAAGGAGGCTAGCTCGCAAAACGCCTTGAGGCTCATGCCTCAAAACGCCTTAAGGCTTACGCCTTGCGTCATGAACAAAAAACGCCTCAATACCCAGATGCTCAATTTTAAACATTGGTATGCGGTAGCCTTATCGATTGTGTGACATCCTTTTACATGTGAAGTGGGAATACTGTGTTGGGTAGTATTGTCTGGGCCATTGGTTTGTCAGGTTAGAGCCCTCTGTGTGCTTTGATTTGGGTGTTTTTGGAGCTATTGTGCATTGATCATTTTGGTGTTAAACTTGCATCATTTGGAGGTCGTTTGATTGTTGAGATAATTTCTTAAGTCAAAATTTATTGTAGGTTTAGCTTGTTTTGAGTTAGAACTCATGTTATTTGAAAATTTTATTCTTGATTAAACAGAAATTTTTACAATTCCTACAATTATCACACAATATTCTACATCTCTTGTAGATTTTGTGGTTTTTCATCAATGGACTTTGTTTGCTTGATGCATTTTTTGTTAATTATTCATATGCTATAGCTTTTTAGTTGTTAAGGTCATCGTAAATATTTGTCGTATCAGGTTATATGCTTAGTAATGTTGTCTTAAATACGAACTTCCGAATGTCTCACAAGTCACAATTCTTCCTACATATAAGCTGCTCACGCATATCACTTGTTGTGGATTTTTATGCATATGTTTAGATATATGATGATTATAATGTTCTTTTGGATACTTAGCTAATGCATTGTGTATTGCGTTCTTGGTTTAGAGCTTGCAAGGGACGCATTAAACTTACTTGGATATTGTGTTATTGGAGGCTATATGTCACCAGTGAATGATGCGTATAAGAAAAAGGTACCTTACATTCCATGTGAGTTAGCATCCTCATCTGTATATATTTCTAACAATGTTTGTTTTACTTTGTTTAGCTTGTAAGTATTTGTTTTATATTATATTATTTAGTTTTGTTTGTGGGTCTATAGTCGAGGTATGTAGACGATTCAGTGATGCACTATTTTGAATTTTATTAGTGACCTTGTAAGTATTTGTTTGATATAATTAGAGTTATTAGATGCTTCTGTTTATGTAGCAAATGTAATGTTAGTGGATGTTTTATATAAACATTTAGATGATGAAAAGTATCATATGTTAGGAATGAAAATGTTATTTTTATTTTTGTGGCACTCTACAATACTTGTAAGGGATATAGTAGAGTATTGTTGTAGAGTGTTACAACACAATAAAGGAGTTCAACAATTGATATAATATTCATATTCGACGTATCGCTTTTCTATATTGAAAAATAAAGCTTCACAACTTATAATGAAGCTGAATTAATCTAATATTTCATTGATAATTAAGCTATATAGTGCAACTAAAAAGCCCAAATTTTCATTAAAATATCTTACATATCTCCCACTATCCCTTAACATAACAATTTACACAGCAAAACATAAGCCGATTTTAAGCCTGTTTTTACTCAATCTTAACCTTATTTTTCCTATTTTTCATAAAAAAACTGTCAAAATAAAAATCTGATGAGCTTTGATGCTTTTAAAGATGTCTAGCTTTATGACATGATTCAAATGTACAAAAGATATAATTAACTTACAAGTTCAATGATTATATGTAATCAAGTAATGCATGCTTTATAATACATCATTATATATATATATATATATGTATATAAATTACATGAATGAGATGTATGTAAAGACCACTTAATATTAATATGTTCACATGAATAAAAAAGGCAAAATACACATCATGATACTACAAGAAAAACAACATCATGTTAATTGTAATTCTTTAATCTTAGATTTAATCACATAGACATTTCATTTAATTGAACATCTTTTCTTTCACATTTCATATCATATATTACCTGAGAATGTGTTATGTTAAGATGTGTCTAGGTCTAGGTTATTTTTAGCCCATTGGCTTAATCATATTGAAATCACATTGCCTCCATAGCCCGTACTCTTCATCATATTGAGGTCGCATTGCCTCCATAGTTCTTAGGCTTCCTTATAGCCCGCATGCCTCCTTGTATCGAGGTTGCATTGCCTTTGTTTGGGTCATATTGCCCACTGTGGCTGCACTGCCCCTCTTGCACATCACTTTAACATGATATTTTCTCAAGTCTATCTATATTTACTTCATCAATTATACTTTGTCATACATCAATTTAAAATAAACGGGTATACAATGCATTTATAAGAGGTCTGTTCATATCACATGCCTTTCATTTAATACTGTAACCCATTTATCAAAACATATGATTCCATTCAATATTATGCAGAATTGCTAACGAGTAACATTCTAAACTGGTTCTGGTGTAAGGGTACATTAAAGAGGCTAATGTACTTGCTTTATGTATTAGAAATTACATATATTACCTCCGCAATAAGTTACTTCCGAAATTTGGATAGTTCAAACTAGCCTATGTGAATATGTCGCCTACAACGATCCAAATTTTCTCAATTTAACAATTCATATAATTTATATTTGAATCAAATACTTCATTTAAAATTTTAATCCAAAAATGACTTTTACCTCAATATTTCCTCTCCTTATATGCCACTTAAATCTTCACATTTTCCCTCCCAATATATTATGGGATTCCTAAGTAATCATTAATTAAATTTACATCAAAACTTTACATAAAAATAATTATTTACTCCATTTATGCACAAAATATAAAAAATATAATTTCTTGCTTTTTTCCTTCCACTTATTTTCCTTCTCTTCTTTTTCTTTCTCTTCTTCTTCTCTCTTTTCTCTGTTTTCCTTTTACCTGATCACCATCTCTTCTTCTTCTCTCTTTTCACTGTTTTCCTTTAACCTGATCACCATCAGCGACCTGCACTTGAACTCCATCTTCCCCCACCAATGCATACATGGATAAGTGACTAAGCCGAACTTATAAATGACCCCGTTATAGTATTTTGTATAGATGAACAATTATCAAAATTTTAACTTTTGGAAATTTATTCAATTGACATTTAATTCAATAACTTTCACACATTTACAAACTAACATATGCTTTTATATATCAATTTACTTTATTTAATGAGTAGAATACAATGACTTTTTTTTTGTGATTTTTGTGGAAGTTGGTATTTTTGGGTATATTTGAGTTAAAGAAAATTGGCATGTATCTTAGGGGTTGTTTGGTTGCCTGAATTAGGAGTGTAAAGTAAAATAATTACTTGTATTTACTAAATTTAGTTGTTTGGGTACTTTTGAGCGGAACAAAAGGAAATCATCAGATGCATTAGGCGTGTATTACGGATTCTGTTTTGCGTGAATTAGAAACCCGCTCGTATTGAGCGGGTTATAAATTCATCGGAACAAAAGCTTCGATCTCGTCGTGCTGTTCGGCTTCATTGCACGATAGGCTTCTTCGGCTCCTTCGTTCTTGTCCGACTTCGCTCCGGCAAGCAGCTTCGGAGAGAGTTCGTCACGACCCGTCTCTTCCATCATGGCCCGCCTCCCCTGCCCCGCCGTTTGGCAGATGTGTCTCTACATCTGCGTCAGAGCAAATTCCCAATCTTTTGCCAACACTGGCGCGCTCGTCATGGCATTAAGAATTTTCCGGCGAGCCGCGGAATCGTGCTCGGCTTACTCAAATGCTTTGTTGGTCTCAGCGGCGCTATTTTCACCCAGCTTTACTTGGCGTTCTACGGCAGTGATGATTCGAAATCTCTCGTTTTGCTTGTTGCTTGGCTTCTGGCTGCTGTATCGCTTGTGTTTGTGTATAATGTGCGTGTAATGGAGCCGCCGCGTGGCAGTGGCGTTGGGGATTCAACAAAGCCTTTTTATTATTTTATGTACCTCGCCGTCGCTCTCGGCGGTTATCTGCTGGTTATTATTGTGGTAGAGAAGGTTGTTTCGTTCTCTCGTGCCGAGATGATTGCCAACGGGGCCGTTGTTATCTTTCTTCTCGTCATCCCTGTCGCAATTGTAGTGAAGGAAGAAGTTAACAGCTTGAAGCAGAGCATGGCTGTCACAGAGCAGAGGAGAAGTAGCATTGATGGTGATGGTGCCCTCTTCTACTATAAAGATTTGCCTCTTTTTATCTTTATTTTTATTTTTTATTACTTTTGAGCCCATTAAGATTTCATTTTGAAACATTTTTTGAAAAATTATCATTTTAAAAAAAATTATCTCAAATAAAATTTGAAGTCAAATTAACATACAAATTACAGATGAGATATTTGAATTCAAAGATCAAGATGAGCTGTATTTTTTTTTCTTTTAGTTAATGAGAGGTTGAAAGATTATATTATTAATATTATTTAGAAATTTTTACATACATAACACTTAAATCTATTAAAAATACATATTTAACATCTAAAATTTCATATTTACTAATATACTACCTAAAATCCCTGTTTTAACCAATTCTAACATTTTGGTTAAATCTTCCGTCAAAAATCACTATTAGCGACTACCTTCTTTGTTAATGGCCTTCTTTCACTGTGAATATAAATATTTCATCGCTTCAATGGAGTGGTAGAATGTAAGGAAAGGATAATTTTATGTGGTATATTAGTAAATATTATAGTTTATGTATTAAATATATATTTTTAATAGTTTTAAATATTATGTAT